GAGGCCGCGTGGGCACCGTCCGGGTGTCTGCGGGCGCCAGCTCCAGGCGGCCCTGGAAGCCGCAGCGCGCTGACCTGCTCCGCCCCGCAGGCATGAAGACCAAGCACGCGCTGCGCCACCACATGAAGCTGCACAAGGGCATCAAGGAGTACGAGTGCAGGGAGTGCCACCGCAAGTTCGCGCAGAAGGTCAACATGCTCAAGCACTACAAGCGGCACACGGGTGAGTCGCGCTTCCCAGCCTGGCGAGGAAACGGCACCGGGAGAACCGCCGCTGCTCCTCACTGTCTTTAGCTCCCGACAGGCTGCAGTCTTTCTGGCCGAGCCCCCAAGAGTCGGTTAAGTAGCCGATTTCTCAGAAGCTACTCCTCCCCGCCGGTGCCTGCGTCCCTGCACACGCCGGGGGAGCCCAGGTCACCCCGCAACTTGTGGTCCTCAGTGTCCTGACGTTCTGCTCGGCCATTTCCCTGCGGGAGCGTGTGCCCAAGCACAGATCGGGGCCCAAGCCCTGTGTGCACACTGGTCATCATGTCGTCGTCCGGACAGGAGACACTGGGCCATCTTCAGTGTCCATCAGTAGGGCAGTGGCTAAATTGTGGTGTGTCTGCCAGAAAGGACAATGCGTTTCTTACAAGTGATGAGATGTATATGTTAATTTACATAGAAATTTATGATACGGTGGGAGAAAAGCCGGCCTATACAGCAAATGAGTTCATTTTTTATGAAACATTTGTATGTGGGTAAATGTGTGTGTGTAACAGAGAATTCAGATAGATGGCGTATGAGAGAAGGTTGTCCCTGGGTGATGGAGTGGTTCTGAAGTTCCTGGCAGGAGCCTCTAGTTGCTTCTGTGTCCTCTCTGAAATGGACTTGAGGGGGAGGGTACAGCTCAAGTGGTAGAGTGCATGCTTAGCATACACAAGGTCCTGGGCTCAATCCCCAGCCCCTCCTCTAAAAACAAATAAATAGACCTAATTACTTCCTCCCCCCAAAAATAAAAAATTTTTAAAATAAATTAAAAAATAAAATGGACTTGAGTCCTGCTACCGCCTGGCTCGGCCCTGGAGTGCCAGCCCCCACATCACTGGACTTTCACAAAAGTGTGCAGCCCTCTTCCTGGGGAAGCTCTCACTCCCCTGGGACTGGGTCCTGCGCCCCCTCCAGGGTCTCATGACCCTCCACCCACTGCCACGCCACTAGGGTGTCCTTCTGGCTTCCAAGAGCCACAGTGAGCGCAGGGTCTGGAGAACCAGGGGCTCAATCAAATACAGGACCTAGACGAGTAGACCTTGAGAACCACTTGCCTGGTTTCCATTTGGCAGGGGGAGGGGGGAGTCTTTGTTTAAAAGGTGCTCTGAGGGTCCACCTTCTCAGTTTGGAGAGCGAAGCAGTCTGATGGCTCAGAGCTTCCTTGCCAGTTTGCAGGCAAGCAGGTGACTGATCTGAGCACCTGGGACTGAATGAATAAGAGTGTCATGAATGGGGCTTCTGCCTTCCTTGATCATGAGCTGTGTGGAGTAAGCTCATCAAATCAGATTCTGTCCAGCGAGACCCCATGGCAGTCCGTGGGTCTCGGGCTGGAGCTGTCCTTGCCACCCTTCCCGCAGAAGGAGCTTGCCGGGGCGCCGGCAGTCAGGTAGCTTTCAAGCCACAGGTCTGCTGATTGAGGTCTGGAATGGACATTCATTCACTGTCTCTTTTCTCCTGGTCATTTACCCTCCTTCCCCCACCAAGGCCTCTCCAGATACAGAAACGTGTCCACAAGGATAAGACAGCTTCTGTGCGCAGTGAAATAAGAATCATGAAACACGAGAAATTAAGCGTGCCTTTTTCTGCAGGGATTAAGGATTTCATGTGCGAACTGTGCGGAAAGACGTTCAGTGAGCGGAACACGATGGAGACCCACAAGCTCATCCACACGGGTAGGCGCGGTGGGGCGGATGCAGAGTGTCTGGGGAAGCCGGCTGTGCGAGCAGAGGTGGGACCTCGTGGCTACGATTCTGTTTGTAGACTTTTCCAGAATATTTGGTGCTGTTCTGCCTTAATGGGGGCCCCTTACCCCCTAAAATTCAGCCCATCAAAACTTTCCAGTACCCATGTGTGAACTGTCAAACACCTGAGCAGCGATGCCGCTCCGGGTTCCACGAGGGCGGAGGCCACACAGCTCTGATGCTTATTTGTGGCCTGACCGCGGCAGGGGGAGGTGACCTGGCTGGCGACCTGAGCCGCACATGCAGAAGGTGAGGGGTCCTGTGGGCTGAGGGGGAGACCCTGTTCCTGACCCTTCTCTCTTTTCCTCCCGTGCACGTGGGAAGTGGGCAAGCAGTGGACGTGCTCCGTGTGTGACAAGAAGTATGTCACCGAGTACATGCTGCAGAAGCACGTGCAGCTCACCCACGACAAGGTGGAGGCACAGAGCTGCCAGCTGTGTGGGACCAAGGTGTCCACCAGGGCCTCCATGAGCCGACACATGAGGCGCAAGCACCCCGAGGTGAGCCGGGGCGGGCGAGCCTCCCTCCCTGGGCCCCACGGCCTGGCCTCCCCTGCCCCGTGAGTCCTCTGCCGCCAGGGCCCCCACCCACTGGCCCATAGGCCCCTCTCCCTTGCAGACCTGTGATTCCTGGAGGCAGGGCTGGGGTCTGACACTCCCCCCTGATGGCAGTGCCAGCGCATGGGAGGCACTGAATGAACAAATGGAAACGTTGCTAAAGTTATATTATAAGTTATATTCTCTCTGGAATCACAGCAGGACAGGAACATAGCCCTGGCCCCCGCCCCTACTCTTCCCTTTGGAGTAACTAAAAAATGAGCAGAGCAGGGGGAGCCCCCTTGTGATGTCAGGGGCTGATTAGAAGGTGGCGTTGAGGACCAAGAGGAAGAAATGGTCCTGGGGCAGGTGGATGTGGGCTCACCTGGAAGCTGGTTCTCAAGGAAGGTCTGGGGCATTAAATAATTCAACATACTTTAAAAAGAAGCACTCTGAAAAACAAAAACAGAAGAAAATGCAGGAAGATAGCTGTCATATCACTGAGAGGGGGAGACTTTCTAAGTGCAAAAGCAATGAAAGAAGTTTCAAACAAAAGATTTGACCACACAAGCAATATAACACTTAGAACTTCTGCAAGTCAAAAGAATAAGCAAAAGGACAGCTGAGAAATATGTTAAGATGTTATTACAGTTAACAAAAACTGTTAAAGGCAAAAACCATTCCATGAAAAGAGCCCAAAGAACCCAGTGTATCCAAGGAGAGGTGATTCATGAAAGAGAAGACACAGGTGCTTAAAACGCAGAAAAAGCCTTTAACACAGGAGGTGCCATTGAATTAGGGGAGATGCTTAAGACTCAAAATGACCGTGCTGCTGTCAGGAGCTGCTCCAGCCACCGGATGTCCTCCTGGAGGGCAGCGTGACTGTATCTCTCCAGAATTTTACAGATGATTGTTTGGACCTCACAGTGTCTGGCCAGAGGAATGTGATTAAGTTAGTGGCAGCTCAGTGATGCGCTTGGCTGTAGACACATTTGCAGAGAATTCTGAATAGAATTGTGAACATTTGTTGTAAGAAAGCAGCACCGCTATGCGCGCACTGCGTCTGTGCACACACTCCGGCTTCCAAGGTCTGTGTGTTTCCACAATGCGCACCCAGATCATACAAATGAGGGAGGTGGGCGAAGAAGGGACAAAAATCACACGGTGGTCTTCTGGTGTTGAAGTTTTGATAATTCCTTATCTTCACATTGTTCTCCATTTTATATACTTTTCCCCAAAGAACTTGGATTGCTTTTGCAATTATAAAAGCACCCCCTGCCTCCTTTGGGTGATAAGTGTGTCTTGTTCTCCTGGAACCCGGCTGTGCCGGCCACAGCCCGCGCAGCTCCCCCGCCGCGTACTCCCAGTCCTTCCCTCTCAGTCCGAGGAGCTGGGATTCCAGCAGCTTTGCTCTCCTCACTCCCATCCATTTCCACCTAGAAGCAGAGCCTGGAGCAGGAGCCCGCAGGGCCAGCCAACAGCGCCCTTCTCTCGGGGCCCTGGGCAGGCACCGCAGACTCACCCGGGGCCCGAGATGCGGCCGAGAGTGAGCGATTTCCGTTATACGGGGGTTTCTCTAGTTTCACGCCCTCATGGAGTGCGCATGTCGGTTTTTGCAGACGGGATGCGTGATGCGCATTGCGGGGTGCGGAAGCCT